TTTATAAAAATAATTAACTTTTTTAACTACCAAAACTATTATATTTATATAATATATAAATTCATAAATAAATTAAATAAATTGTAGATTAAAAAATGATAAATTATAAAAAAAATATAAATAAGTCAAATTTATCAAAATAATTTATAAAAAAATTAAATAAAAAAACTATAATCTTTGTAGCTAAGTAATTTGAGGCCAATTCCTTCCCTTTTCACTTCCCTTCTAAGTTTCTTTCTTGGAAGCCAAATTGCTCCAACTTAATTACTCAAGCAAGAAAATAATTCTCTTTTTGGAAAAGGAAAAGTAGAAGGTAATCGAACTTATCTTCAGTTTTCCTTCCTTGGAACATTTGAAATTAAACCAATAAATTTAATTCCTTTCACATTCCCCACTATCATTTTCTCACTGACCAAACAAAAGCCAAGAAATTTGGAAAAAGAAATTACAAATTATATGCAAATCCATTTAAGCATAGAGAGGGAGAGAATTACGATGAGAGACTGAACAAGAGGGATCATCTCAACTAGATCGTTATAGAAGACGCGACCCACATTGCCGTTCGCGGCGGAGTTAGAGAGTGAAGACTGAATTCGACGGTTTATCGGCGACGAGTCAACCTCCCCCAACAACCATGAATTCTGATCTCCGAAACTTGAATTTTCTTGCAAATCCACAAAATGCTGTGGCTCGAACATCGTTCTCTTCGATTCTGGAACTGAAGATCGATTGCAATAGATATTACTAAATAAAAAACTACAGTCTTTGTAGCCAAGTAATTTGGGTCTGAATGCCAAGTAAAGCACGCCGGAAGCAAACGTGGCGAGGAGGAAAAGGAGAAGGATGGACAAGAAGAAGCAGCAGCAGCACCATCGACGGCAGGTACTGCGGCCGGGCTTGCGCTTGGAGAGTTGCTAGAGGCATTTGGTGTTCTCGGGCGGATGAACGCGGAGGATTTGATCTCTGGGGATCTGGATCACATAAGTTCCCAGCTTCAGCCTGGGCTTCACCGGCGGAGGAGGCGCAGACTCTGGCATCGGCCATAGCCTGCAGCTACAGCAACCGGTCGACCGTGACAAGCGAGACAAAGGTTGGGAGAACGAAGACAATGAGGGGGAGAGAGAGAGAGGAGGGTAAAAATGACATTTTATTTTGAAGTCCCATCTCATCCCACCTAATCCGATGGGGGAGGTGGGATGGCTTTTATCACATAAGGTTTGGATAGCACAAAATGTAGGATGCATTTTATGATTAGGGGTGACAAATTTTTTCGATTTGACGTGATCCTCGTTATGGGGATGGATGAAAAAGAATATTCTTTTCTGTAAAGAGAAGATTGAAGGAATTTTCTCCTTGTAAAATTTTACGATAGATTTTTTTTTGTGAGGATCTTCATGTAAAAAATTTAAAAAATATATATTTTAAATTTAATTTATCTTTTAAAATAAAACCAAAATCCAACCCAAACTTTCAAATAAAACTTTCAAATAAAACAAACAAAGAAAACGAATAAACATCCATTCAAATTCAAATCCATGAAATTCAAGCTTGATTTCACTCACAATATCATCACCGAATACAATTCTAGCATGTCAAACCTAAAGAAGTTAAAACAAACATGGCGAAAATCTTTGAAGAAAACAGATCAGAATCGGGGGGAGGGATCCCACCCACAGGATCAACCTCCAACCCTCTCCCTCACTGTCTTTCCCAAAAACCTTCTCTGATAAGAAAAATTACCTAAAAGAAGCAAACCCAGAAGATGCACAATCTCCTTCGGTGAGCTCTGGGAGTTCAGCAATCGTCTTCCTCTTACTGCCACCTCCGGCAATACCAAACTCAGACAAAAGAAAACCCCTCAAAATCAAACTCCAAAATCGATCAAAGACTCTCCAAAATCAAACTCTAAATTCCCCCAAAATCAAACTCAAAACTCCACCATCAACCTAAGGACCCCCCAAGCTCCCGAAAAAGAACCCCAAAAATCAACTAGCCAAAAAGCCCCCCAAAGACCTCTGCCTTTTGCTCTATATATACCCAAAATGATAAAAATAACAAATGAAACAAAAAAAAAGGGGGCCTTGTTCTGTCAATCACCAATGATGCTAATTTGTCCGGTATTTGCTATCTTTTTTGCATGGCTGTAGCGTGCAGGAAGCAGGGGCACGTGATTGGGCGCAGAGTGCAGGAGGCGCAGCAAGGTGGTGCAGCAGCAGGGGTGTAGGCTCGGTGCAGGAGGCAAGGGCGCAAAGCAGGGGGTGCCGGAGTGCATGATTGCGCGCAGGCTCAGTGCAGAGGGGGTATGATTGCCGGTGATGCTGGCGTGCAAAGGGACATCATTGCCGGCAGTGGGTGGCGCAGAGGAGAGGGGATCTGGTGCAGAGGAAGGCTGGCGCAGTGCAGAGCTGGAGATTGATGCAGATTCGGTGTAGAGCAGGTGCAGGAAGCAAGGCCGGGCGCGGTAGCAGAAGGGCGCAGGCAGCAGGGCTAGAGGTCTGGGCTCGGTGCAGGGTAGGTGCAGGCTGGTTCGTGCAGAGGGGGGGGTGGCTGGTTCGGGTGTGAGGCTAGGGTGCAGGGGCAAAGGGGGAAGAAGAAGGTTCTGGAGGAGAGAGAGGACGGGGACCTTTTCAGCCCCTTTTTTTTTTTTGGGCTTGCGTTAAATGGATTTTGGCTTTTGGGTTTTGGGTTTTTGGGTAATTGGGTTTGAGTTTGGGTTTTGGGTTTGAATTTTGGGTTTTGGGTTTAACTTTGCATTTCACCCCTCCAACTTTTCATTTCTTCAATTGAGTCCTTTCTCTCATCTTCCTTTCCAATCTTCTTCGTAAAATTTCCTTTTTGCCCCCCATTTTTTTTTATCAACCTAACAAGTAAAACAAAGACAAAACATATTAGTTAAAATAAAAATAAAAATAAAATAAAATTCTACTAAAATTTGAATTATGACACATGTTACCCGCTAAACTTGTCTTTTGCAACTGATCATGTTTTAATTATCGCATAAATTAGGGATCACTAACTATTCTCTGCTCTGTGCTATAATAGACAGCTGTATGGATGCATGGAAGATGTTTTGGTTTCAGAAATGTATATGGATTACAAACTCGTACAATACTTGTTTTTTGGTAGAATCGTACAGTACTTGTTATGGGATGGGTGAAGGTATTTTCTGTAGGATTTTGTCTTTTCCTTCTTAATTACAAAGTGTAAATTCTGAGCAAAATCTAGACGAAAATGACTTTGAAGTCCACTTTTCCACAAAATTTATCCCATTTGGTCGGAATCATGTAATGAAAAGTAGTTGTCAAACTCACACAAACTATTAATTCTCCTCCTTTCTTTTAACATGACCTTCTGCTTTTAAAGAGGGTAGAGAGGGCTGTATCAGACTATAGAGTTTTTTTTTTTTTTTCTTGGAACAACATAAATTATTAAATTGAGTTGTGTATCTCATTCTGATTTGTAGGGCAGATCATGTGTAATTTTAAGTTATGTGGTCTTTCTTTTAGCTTAGATTTAAATTTTAAGATTGACTTAAAAAATAACATTTATTTTTTAGTGAATCCAACCTTAAAGTTATAACTTAAAATTTTAGAATAAAATAGTCTGAGACAAAAAATAGGACACATGTTGAATTTTTTTTTTTTTTTTATAAACCTAGATTAATCAGCTATATATTTAAATTACAAATGTTTGAATTCCTAAAATTGATCCCAAATCAATATTGTAGAAT